GGGTCATTCAAATGTCGACCTTAAAGTGCTCTTCACACCAAGGGATTGATCATCGAAATGCCGACCTTAAAGTGCTCTTCACACCAAGGTTTGGGTCATTCAAATGTCGACCTTAAAGTGCTCTTCACACCAAGGGATTGATCGTCGAAATGCCGACCTTAAAGTGCTCTTCACACCAAGGTTTGGGTCATTCAAATGTCGACCTTAAAGTGCTCTTCACACCAAGGGATTGATCGTCGAAATGCCGACCTTAAAGTGCTCTTCACACCAAGGTTTGGGTCATTCAAATGTCGACCTTAAAGTGCTCTTCACACCAAGGGATTGATCATCGAAATGCCGACCTTAAAGTGCTCTTCACACCAAGGTTTGGGTCATTCAAATGTCGACCTTAAAGTGCTCTTTGCACCAAGGTTCGTGCCGACCTTAAAGTGCTTTCGCACCAAGGTCCCCGGAATCTAATAGGCAGGCAGAAACACCGAAATTGCCGAGTTTAACGGTGCCGCGCAAATCAATGAGAATGTTACCGGCTTTGACGTCACGGTGGATGTGTCCGTGATGGTGAAGATACTCCAAACCCTTCAATGCCTCTTTGAGAATGGTTGCAATGACAACCTCTTCAAAATGTCGACTAGCCGAATACCCGAGTCCGTGGACGACCAGGTCGAATACCCGAGCCCACCGACCACTCACAATCTGAATGGAACGTGTCGGTGTGCTCGGCCAAGTCACGGATTTACGCCAGGATAATTATGGAGAGGTTAATTTATGTAATGCACCAGATTAGCCCCCTAATTTCTCGGGGCCCAGTCCTTAATCGCGGCCCAATAAAATCACTATAAATAGGACCCCAACGAGGTACGTAACTAACTTTCAACTACCGCATTTATTACGCCGAGCACTTACTTGAGCGTTGGAGTGTCTTTGCAGGCACACCCCCCCTCACATCGGACTACCCGGATAGGAACGAGAAGACCGAGACCCAGGATCAGACCCGCTACAACAAGGATAAGTGAAGTGTGTATCCTAACACAGGAACATTTGGCGCCCACCGTGGGGCCGAGGAGACGTTTTCAGCCCCTTTTAACTCTACAACTGAGACCGAGATATGGTAGTAACACGCAAAGGACCATCGACATCGACTCAACCGATCCCCAACCCCAAGAACAATCCCGTCATGACCGACCAAGAACGATACCATACGGAATGCCTCAGACACAACCAGAGCCTGTGATACAAGAGGTCCGGCCGAACGCCGACGGAGCCTAGCCCGACCTCCACGATGACTTGCGCGCATTGCGCGAGGAAATGGCAGCCTTCCGAAGACAGAGAGAAGCCGATGCTAGGGATTTGGCCGAACTGCGCCGACAAAACGCCGAGCTCCAAAGTCTAAACCAAACCTACATGCCGTCAACTCCCACACTCCTAGAGGAGTCGGCCTATCATGCCCCCACCGACCATGTAACCCGAACACCGGTTACTTCTTTGATTGGTGGCAAGATCGACACCACCACCCACTAGTTGAGACACCCCTTCTCCCAAAGGATAATGGAGGCAACCCTGTTAAACCATTGGAAGAGCATGTCGATCGAGAACTATGACGGGTCCACCGACCCCGAGGAGCACTTGAACGTTTTCCTGACACAAGCGTCCCTCTCTACTCAAGATGACTCGACCTTGTGCCGGATATTCCCCACATCGTACGGTACAGGATTCAACTCAATTACTCCCGCAATTTATTTAAATTCAGTCTCAATTATTAAAACATCTGATTTAACTTTTATTTTTTAATAACACAATATAATTTTTATATTTAATTGAACTAATAATGTATATGTCATTTTTCTTATTATGCATCGTTTTACGATACTTTTTTTTTAGTAACTATACATAATATGTGTTGTTGAGGGGAAACACTCTTATTGTCTTTGTAGGTGATTGCTCTTCCG